AATTGAAAAGTGTATTTATAAATGTAAAGTTTACATAGATTCTAGGTAATTAGCCTCATTCCAAAAGAGACGATGTTTAATTTTTAGTAGTATATAAAATGTTTCATTTCAGGTTGTTAATAGGAATTTAATAAGTCTGACTAATAGAATCTAGTTTAGTAGTATTAACTTAGAGCATAGGCAAACTATTATTTCATTAAGGATTTTTTTTTATTTTGAAATGCTAGGTTGATTGTCATTTGATGTTCCTGTTTTAAAATTCCATAATACTGCTAAATATATTGGGAAGAAAAAGGTTGTAAATGTTTAAAACATGCATCTCTAACTATTGTGTATAGGTAGTTTAAAATTAATTTGTAATTTGGATAGACACAAGCAAAATGTATCAAAAGAAGGGAATATCTTGCGTCAGGTATCTTTTATATAAAAATTAGAGTAATTGTATTGGTTGTAACAGTTTCAACATTAGCAACTGCAGGTATGTAAAAATGCAGTATATTAAAAGTTGTTTTATTTTCTTCTTAAAAGAACTGTAAAAATTAAATTCTTTGCTTTTTAAAGTTGGGCATTTATAGAGGAGAAAATGTAAGACGTGTTTTTTTTTATTAATAGTTCTGTTTGTCGCAAACTTCTATAATACTATTCTTGCATCAATACACTCAGCTGCATATTTATACACGTAAGATTGTGAAAGTATGTTCAGTGATAAAAGGAAGTTGTCCTCACATTTTGTGACTTCCTGAGCAGAAGAATCAGTTGGACAAATAAATAAGAGTACTATGCATTATCTAGTATTACATGCTACGAAGCTATTTTGTACGGAATTAACTCATGTGAGGGGGGTAGTCATGTATTTGTGTGCAGAGTTCACAGTAAAGGCGGCTGTCCACTTATAGGTACTGTGTGTGTATGTTCACAGGAGACCTGACATCCATTGCTAAATAATGAAAATTATTTTTAAAGTTTACTTTAATGTGTACCCCAGTACGGGGTGGGGTGGGGTTACCCTGAAGCTTACAGAACACTTCATCCAGAAGTTTATGTCCAAGTCCAGTTTAGTTTTTCCTTTCGCTTGTGAAAATATTTGAATTAACTTTGGAAATTATGAATGGGTGTTCACAGCATTTGCAGAATTATTTTTTGTACTGTGTATTGTTTATTTGTATGTTTGATTTTGTACATTGCCTGATGAGATTTACTTCAGAAATGCCAATTTAGATATGCAGTTAACATTTAACATATACAGTTAAGTGCAATTCCCATTTGAGATTTGTAATCTGATGTTAATCATTGTACTATTATTTAATGATGTTTCTTGTATTAATTAATAAAGGACTATTAATACTGAATTAAATTTGGTAGTTTTTTGAAACCTTTCAATTACAGTAATTCTGAGTTTCAGTGAGTCGAGGTTCATAACATTTGTTAACATGGACCTTGTAGTAGATAATTTAATCTAAATATTGAAAATTAATCTTATTGTTTACAGTGATACTTTTTTTTATATTTTTTATGGGCTTGATTTTACTGTAACAATTTAACTATATGAGCTATATATATATCACAAGTATCCTTGGCGTGGAATATTCACCATTCTCCACTTGTCTGTGAGCTGTATATATCACAAGTATCCTTGGCATGGAATATTCACCATTCTCCACTTGTCTTACTTGTTGATTCAAATAACTCTCTTTAGCTAAACAAGAAATGCATAGAGATTTTGTTTTTGGAGAATCCTCTCAGAAAGCAGCCATTTGAAAGGCCCAGAAAATGTGAATATTACAGCAATAGATTGAGGATGTTGGAAAGTTTTCACTGGCTGAGAATGTGATTCATCAGTAGACTTTGATATTAGCATTGCTTATCAGTCAGGTTATATTACCTGAAATTGAGTTTGCGTATTCCAGTGTAACATCATACTTGACTCTGCCTTCCGTGCCACCCAGTGATTTCTCAGCTTTTCTGTCCCAGTTTTGGTTTTTTGTTATGATCCTTACTGTTTACTGGCTGTGTACAGTTATGGACAGCCATTTTCCGTTTTTTTTTGAGAATCTTATGGTTTCAACTATTTCTTGAGGTAAGTTATCATTCATGTTATTTGGTGAGTGTATAATGTGTACATACTTCATTAGCACAAGTAAGATGTTGATTTTTATGTGTATGCTGTGTTGTATTTCTTGTGATTGTTTGCGTAGGAGTATTTTTGTTGTGTTAAATTGTGCTCTAGTATGCCAACACACTCATTTTAGTAAGTCATAATTCTGAGATAATTATATTGAGCTCCTCTATTCTAAGTCACTTGCTATTTCTACTGGCTATGTAACTAGAATTTAAAGTACTGAAATTTACTTTATACTTCTGTTTTATGCGGGGGAACACGGTGGGCAAACAATATGCTAACATTTGCACTTCTATTGCAGAGGTATTAGACTGACTTAATTTAGCTTTTCCCTTAACTCACTTTTTTTTAGAGGTTAAATATTGATATTTTACCATCCATAATTCTTACTGTCATCCTGCCATTGGAGCTATTGAAATTGCCTCATAGTTGCCTCCACTGCAGATACTTACTCGGTTTTTAAGGCGAACAAAAGCCATAATGTTCAAGTAGTCTGTTACTGGAGGCACTACTAACTTAAGTTTGTGAAATTGTCCAGTTCTATATGATTCGCTGTTCTGTGATAACGACATCGTGGTATGTGTACTGAAATTATAAGTAAATTTGCCTATTGTGTGAATCTGACAGAGGATTTTTCCTCTAGCCTCTGCATTGAGACTGGCTCTGTGGCTCACCCAGCCTCCTGGGGGTAAACCACAGCCAGGGAGTGATGCTGACCACTAACCCAAATCTAGTGTTGAGGTAAAGAATGAACCTCTCCCACAAAATACCTATGTGCTGCGTAGCAGTACAGCAAAGAAAATGTTATGCGTAAATGGGACTGGGGTTTATACAGTAACAGTATGAAAATTTTTCATCATATACTGCATGTGAGGGAATGTGTATCAAGCATAACAGTTCATATATTGCATGAGGTATTTGTCCAGAAAAATTATACCATTTATGTGAGATTTGAGACTAACAGTGGTGAAGATATCAATTTTCTTCTGGGTTGTGATGTGTGGAAATTAACATTTCAGAGAAATATAATGTTCTGTCTTCAGCCCGAAGATGGAATCAGATTGTTTCTGTGAAACATTGATTTCTACCTATGAGTCCATGCAGCATCACAACCCAGAAGAGCAACATTAATATTGATGCCAATCACTTCAATCTGTATGGTCAGTATATAAATGGATCTAGAGCAGGCATGTCTAACTTATTGTCCACTAAGGACTGCTTTAAAAAAGAGATGACTGTTTGGGGTCCATCTCATGGCTGAAGAAAGTCATAACCAATTACTTTCATGAATTTGAAGCTCAAGATAAATTTTTAATTCCTCTTTTTCCTCAGGCATAAACAAATGTGAATTTTGCTTAAATGCTTTTCATTTTATTTAATTCAGATATAAAACAGTATTTGAAATGCATTTGAAACTTAATATGTATTAAAATTTGGACATTTTGGTCCACACATCATGCATAATTAGAGAACTCTGCCAAGTTGCATAAACATCAAAGAGGGCAGCAGCAGTATCTTATCATTACAGTGGCTCTGTGTTTAATTTGTAACTGCTGGTCGTCCTTCACTGCCTGTGAAGTTATCATAGTAATAACTCAGTTATTTTAACTAAATAGTTTAAGGAAATTTCAGGTTCTTTAGTTTTTATTTTACAGTCTTTTAACAAATAATTTAGCAAAATAATAATCTGGCTCTCATTCAGGATATTAGCTTCTGTCCTTCTTAGGATGCAGCTACCTTGAAGAGTTCTGTTCTTTTTTCCCTCCCATCTGGCATCTGCCAGGATAGTTCAGTTTGCCACCATATTCATTATTTTACCACATATAATTCAGTATTGCATAACCTTGCATTTGATACAGGATCATAAAATAAGTGAGTAAGCAAACATTTGTATATTTTTGTGGTGTTTATATAGACAAATGCGATAATTTTCTCCAAATTGAAGCTTCAGTTTGATATAAAGCATTAATATCAAAATACTTTATTTTATTATGAAACCTTTTAAATATCCAAATTGTTATGTTTATATGATACTGGCTCAAAAAATGTTGCACCTGCCATTGCATCTTTTCGTTGAAGAGGAAAATAGTAACACTTACAGTAGGCTTTGTTTTGCAGGTGCCTTCAGTCCTCAGTGGCATCATTCAGAGCTTTCCACAAATTGAAAAGTGACTTGGGCAACACAGTTCACTTGAAGAGTACCATTGCTTCTGCTTCTGACTTGTCAAATGCTCATTCTGTTTGGATAAAAACAGAAAAAAATATTTCTCCTGAAAGTTGTGATTACTGTGGAAGTCTCTTCAACCAGAAGAATGACTTATTGTCTCATTTAGCCAAAGTACATTCAGAACGTGCATTTAAATGTGAAATATGTGATAGTATGCTTAATAGCAAAAAATTATTTGAAGCCCATATGAAGTTACATGAATCTAGTGGAAAATATTTCCAAAAAGTTCTAGACACTTGTTCTGACAGTTTTGGTCATGGATCTAATCCAACTGACGATGCTTGCGTTCCTCATGAAAATGAAACAAAAGATTTAAGAATACTGAATGTAAAATCTGCATTGGAATTAGAAATTGTTGCAAAACCTACTGAACAGAACTTTGTTGCATGTGACACATGTGGTAAACATTTTAAGAGGCTTTATCATCTTAAGAAGCATATTCAAGTTCATGACATGATCTTGAAAGTTGCAGCAAGTGAAAATGAGGCTATAATGAATGGGTCTGATTCGGAGGAGGAATCATGTAATGAAGAGGAAAGTAATACAGAAGATGATACAGCATCTGGAAGGAAAAAGAAAGTGAAGAAAGCATATCAGTGTGAGATATGTGGGAAAAACTTTGCGTTGAAGGACAGCTACAAGTCCCATCAGCGAATTCACACTGGCGAGAAACCTTTCACTTGCCATATTTGCGGGAAGCAGTTCTCCTACACTGGTGGTCTATACTATCACTTGAAACATGTCCATGCTGGCATCAAAAACCACAGTTGTGACATATGTGGCCGCAGTTTTGCTTTGAAGGCTGCCATGGAAGACCACCGGCGTATTCACACAGGTGAACGTCCTTATGTTTGTCACACTTGTGGTAAACCATTCAAAACAAAGGCTTCATTATATATCCATAGCAAAATTCATACAGATTCCTTTCCACACCCTTGTACTTACTGTGAAAGGCGATTTCGGTGGAAGCAGCAGCTTCTAGCTCATGTGACCACACACACAGGTGAGAAACCTCACACCTGTGATGTCTGTGGTAAAGGTTTTGGTGTGAAGAATGACCTCACAAGGCACAAATTGATTCATTCAGATGAGAAACCATTTATTTGCTCTTTTTGTGGCCTTTGTTTTGGACAGAAGAGGTATCTAAAGAACCATGAGAAATCACGTCATGGGATGCAAAGATGAAACAAAATGGCTTTGTAACTAATGGTTCTGTTCTTTTCATTGATTGTTTTAGCCTCTATCATGTGCGGAATTCACCAGGAAATTGGATTTCAGGGTTTATGTCTCAGGTTTTGATATATTAGAATATCCTTGAAAGTTTGTGATTGTGAATTAATAAATTGTGTCATAAATTAATAATTTGCACAATGTGAGTTTATAACTTTGTGAGCTAATAATTTGTGTCATGTTGCCATTACTTTTAATTGTGTACGAATGATCTGTACTACAGGTTTTGTATCATATTTGATTAGTTGTGTAATTGAGGTACAGTAAGATAATTACGTATTATTAAAATTTTCCTTGTAATTTGTGGATTTGATGATAATTTTGGAGTTATAATAAAGTGTATTATAGCAGATCTTGTGATTTAATGTTTTGTGTAGTACATTGCGACTGTTTGCAGTCTGTTGTGTTTTGCTGATTAGTTCTTCTCCAGTATGGTATTGATTGTATAGTTTCATATATATCAATTTATTTTCTTTAACAAAGATGAAACTGGCACAGTTTCTTCTTAAGATTTCTCCAAATATTTTAGAGCATATCCTTCATTACATCTTACGATGTAGAAACAGAAGGGAATATAAATTACATTTTTATTACTCTTTATACACCAGATAATCCTCTGTTGGAACAATATATTAAATTTATATACCACAGTTTCTCCTTATTTTCAGTTCAGTTTTAAAAATAGAAGACATTAATGAGGGCCTATGAGTGTTCCCTGTGTCAGTGACCAGTAGGTTTTTGGCTAGTACATACTGTTTCTCTCTTAAGTAGGATTTGAGGTTCTCACCGCAGTGAGTAGGAAGATGGCTGTCCTCTGGGTTGTAGCTCCATGTAGTCTGGTAGAAGTTTACCAACATTTCAGTGGTCCTTGCTGTCTCCATCATCAGGGCACTGAGTAAAATTGGTTTGAGATGCCTTGACTGACTGGTTCCTATATCTTATAACAGTTATTTGCACACAGCTTATTCAGCAAGGGCCTCTGAAATGCTGGAAAAATTAACTACAAGAACCAGCCACTTGGATGGGCATCATTCAGGGGAAACTTGCATATCAAGCAAGGTAAACAAGCTGCTATCTTCAGAGTTTGGATGAAGATGTTCTCAGTAATAGAAGTTTCTCTCATTCAGTTTGGTGAGGCATTGATCAATGTGGATCAGCTGGTATAGACCTAGCCAGACAAATATGTTGTGATATGGGCCAGAGAAAGGACAGGCAGGGAACTGAATGAAGTGCAAGCAATCTAGAACATTTCTCATCACAGACAACTGGAAAATATATGAAATATTGTTAATATTCTTAAAATATTAACAATATTTTTAAAAAGTTTGGTATAATAGACTCACTAATCAGTTGTTTAGGTTGGTTATGCGCTTTTACTGTGCTGAATTTTATCTTTTTATCCCAGAGATATCCGTATTGCTCTCCAATTCACCATATTAGCTCGTTAAATGCTTGAGATATGTAATAAATAATCTTTCTTCAAAATGATTTATTCTTCTCTCAGCCTCCCAGTAATATTGTTTAAAGCTTTTTGCTTGCCAGCATCTTGAAACTCTCTCATCAGGTGCTGGTGAATTGAATTTTCTTCCAACAAATTTTTAACTTCGCTAAGTCTGAATGACACATTCTGTGACCAACCCAGTTTTTCTCCAGGCCCCATATTAATTTTATAGATCTGAGTTCTGGATGATAAGGTGACGGGCGCAAAGTAGAATATTGTGTTGTTCGAAGATTGAGTTTACCATGCAAACTTTAAGTTGAAGTTTATTGACTTCATCTCATATGACTTGAATTTGTTATATGGGGACTGTTGAGATACATTTCAGATACTGAGACAGACCTGCATTATTTATGTTCTGAGGTAGTAGTGGGGCTGTTCTGTGCATTATGATAAGATGCATTATGAAGTACCAAAACAAAGTGTTGTGATAAGTTTTTTTGTCACAAAGTTGTCTCTGATAATTGCCTGTTCATGCTGTGGATTTGAGTATCAGCAATAAATCTTCATTCTCTAATAGAATTCATGTCTTTCCTGCAGTTGTAATGGTATGTCTGGATCTCTTGAGGAGTCTGTATTTCTTCTTTGCAGAACAGTATTTCATGCTTTCCTTTTTGAAACTCCAGTTCCAGCTTTTGTTATTTTCCTGAATTTCCTTCATGGTTTTAAGAGGCTCAGTTGTACTTCATATTTTCATGATTATGTGGACAATAGAAACAAGCTTTCTTGCCTGACTACTGTGTTTTGGAATTTAACTTTGTCTGAAGGCATTTTAGATGAAAAGAAATAATATTTACACATGTCAATGGTACTGAAAACTAGAATGAGAATTATTTTATAAAAATCAAACTTTTCTATTTACAAAACAGGACATAGCCACCAGATCTGTTACATAGTTGGCCTTTTTCCATACGGATGACATAACTTTAGCAACTGAACTTCCTTGTGAGCTCCTGTGGAGTTGACAGTGGCGTATTGTGAGTAGTGAATGGCACAGTTCGTTCCATCAGAGCAGTACTGCGATGTGTGTGGCATACGGGCATTTGGACTGCTAGGTAATGCTAAAACCATGACCAAGAGTGTACTGACTATGTAATGACCATGGTGATGGAAGCGTATGACAGTTGTAGTAGTTGAAACTGTTTAATTTTCTTGTAGTGTGCTGCAGAAAATTATTGAGTACAAGTTATATTGATTAGTGTGTATAAATGTTGATATCTGTTCTTGACTGAAGATGGTAGAGAATTTTTTTTATTTTATGAGGCTTCTAAAGTTTCCAAACCATGTTCAAATCTTTTTTATATATTGACCTGTATTCTTGTATTTCTAATTTATTTGAAATTGAACTCATTTACTTTCCTACATGCACTGTTACAGCATTTTAGGACATTGCATTCATCAAGAATATTTTGTGTCATAATGAACTTGGTCCATGGAGTAGAGTCCTTCTTGAGAAACTATGATTACTGTGCTGGTCATTAAGTTTCCCACAATTTTTTAACCCAAAGATACATTACCATTTTCACAAGAACACCCACTGGACTCTGTCCTGAGCCAGATGCACCCATTCCACACGCTAACTCCCTAATTCTCTCTAAGATCCATTTTAGTGTCATCCTCTCTCAAGTTGCTTCTTCCATTCATGTTTTCTGATTAAATGTCTGCATTTCTCATTTCTTCCATTCGACATAGATTTAAAGTGAATTTTCTCGGGCTACTAGCCATGTCAGGTGGTTAAATGGAGAAAACACCATTTCTCTATTCAACCATTTGACACAGCTGGTAGCTGAGAAGAATTCCTTTTTCTTAGTTGCTGTGAAAGCTTCAGGTCATACACAACTTAGACTTTTTTCGTTTGTATGCATTTCCAATAATATGTTTATATGTGGCAAGGAGCCTTTAAAAGTCATGTCTTAACAGTAATGACACATAAACTGAGTACTACAATATTTGTTTCAGTGGTATGCTGAGTTTATATGTCACATGTACAGTTACCTAGTTAGTTTGCCGCTCACTCTTAAACGCTTACAACAACACTTATTTTAGTTGGTATATTTCAAAAGAATGGACGTTAAGATTTGTGTAGAGGTTTTTGGCAAAGGCGTGCCATTAAAATGATGCATGCTCTTGGATGTTTTCTAAAGGGAAATGTCTAAGAATACTCGTCGGTTTAACACACTTTAGCCCATCTTTGCAACGGACCTCCCATACCTGAGTTTACATTCACGAATTATCACTTCAAGGAAATCATTTTCTTAGAATTGGTTTTATACCCTGTGCCAGGAATGACTAATGAAGATCATAAAAATATATCAGTAATGGTAACTGGCCTCCTGGTGAAGTTTTTGAACCTGAGACCTCGCAGGTATGAAGCTTAAATGCTAACTGCTTGATTACCATGTGTAGTAAAATAACATTCTGTCACTAATGCTGCCATTTAGTTTCACAGTGTTTGCTGGGATAAACAATTACATATGTTGTACAAGAAAAAATAATATGTGATATACTTGGCTTTTTATGCAGTTGATTTGAAATGAATTTGTATATGTAAAATAATTTAAGTATATAGTTAGTTGTACTTGAAAATCTCTGGGTGTATGCTTTTTAAACCAAACATTGTGTGATTGTTTCATCTACATTTAAATTTAATTCTGTTTACTTTGTTTCAAGCTTTGTGTGTATAATTTTTGTCATTAATAGTGTATACATATTTCCTTATTCAGAAAAATGCACTCTGCTTGTGCCACACCAGTAAGTACAATTTTTGGGCTTATATGATTGGTTTTAGAACATTTCTAGCATCTCCTGACCACCTGGTAAATTGAGTGATTCAGACACACACAGTTTTTATGGGAAGCCGGTAATGCGTACCAAATGGCAGAACAAAATTCAGCTAAATTAATATGAAAATTAATGAATAAAATATTTGCTTTATTTAGAGCACTGCTTTCTTGTCAGAATGGAACTGATTTTCTGCCAATAGTGTCTCTATCGTTTGTTGTATCTTGTAATAATTTGTCTTTTCAGTCACGTTAAAGTTCAGCTCTTTTTTTTAACATGTTGTATTTCTGTTTTGTAATTTAAATGATTCTTCAGTCTCCAACTGG